AAGTTATGTACTCTTTTTTGTCTAGCTTTGGGATTTATTTATTTATTTAAATTTTTTGGTATTGTAGATGGACAGAATGCCTTTATTTGTTTATTTTTAATGTGGTGCTAAGGCTTGAACCTAGTGCCTAATAAATGGTATACAACTGCTCTGGCACCAAACTACGGCCCCAGCCCAAGCTTTGGTATTTAGCTAATTAATTTTCAGTCTTGCTCCTTAACTAAATATTGTTTTTTGTGTAATGTCTTACCTACATCCCTCATGTTTTATTTATTTATTTTTTAAAGAGAGAGAGAGAGAGAATTTTTTAATATTTATTTTTCAGTTTTCGATGGACACAACATCTTCGTTATGTGGTGCTGAGGATCCAAACCAGCACCCCGCGCATCCCAGGCAAGTGCGTTACTGCTTGAGCCACATCCCCAGCCCCCTCATGTTTTAATATGTGGCAATTTCTTTATTCAGTTCTAAATATTTTCTGATTTTCTTTCTTTTCTTTTTTGGAAACAGGGTCAAGTTTGTCTTGAACTCCTGGGCTCAAATGATCCTTCCACCCCCAGAATCCTGAATAGCTGGATCTACAGGTATATACACGCCACCAAAGCCCAGCTTTTCCTAATTATCATAACAAGTCGTCTTTGACTCATTAATTATTCAGAAAATTTTCCAATTATAGAAAAGGATTGTTTTGTTTCACTTTTGCTACTGATTTCTTTTCACAGAAAAGAAATAAAGATTTAAACTTATTTTTTTTTATTTTTATCAAAGTAATCATTCATAGTTTAAAACTCATATAATACTGAGTCTTATAAGTTGCAAGCCCTACCCAATACTCCCCATATCCTGCCCCCAGAAGTGAACAATTTCAACTCCTGTGATTTCTAAATACTTTTAGAAGATATAATTGTTTCTTCAGTTTTTCAATCTTAAACATTATTTTCTCCTTAACGTAGAAAATGAAGTCTTAGCTAAACCATCCCCATCACATCTCTTACAAAGAATGAAATTTTCTATCAGTTTGCAATTCTGAAAAAAAAATTCTTTTTTACTCTCACACAAATTCATAATTTGGCTAAGCACAGACCTCTAAGTTGAAATTCAGATTCATTTAGTATTCTGAAGCAATGGCTTCACTATAGTCTACATTCCTGATGAAAGCCTAGTGCTATTCTGATTTCTGAAATTTCTTCCCTTTTCTTTCTTTTTTCTTTGAAGTATTAAGTGTTGAACATGTTAGAGAAGCACCCTACCATTGAGTTATATCCCTTTTTAAAAATTTTCAGACAGGGTTTCACTGAGTTGTTTAGGCTGACTGAATTTGGAATTCTCCTGCCTCAGCCTCCAGAGTAGCTGAGACTGCAGACATGCACCACTGCTCTGATTCCTGAAATTTGAAAATAATATAACAGCCTTTCTTTCTTCTGTCCCATCTGAAATACAAAATCTATGAGAGCATCACTTTATTATAAAAGTTCTAAAATTTGCTTTGGTCTGGAACTTTTTACACTTCATGAGTTAATCTCTCCCAATGGTATACCTCTGCAAACTAAAGGCTCCTGCCTCATCAATTCAAATAAAATGTTTAAAATTTTATGTCTTTAATAAATTCTTCCCATTTTCTCTGTTCTCTCTCTCTCTTTTTTTTAAGGTGGATGTTGGTCCTGTTGAATTGGTTCTCAAACCTTCAACTTCTCTGTTTTCCATTTCTTTGGTTTTCCTCCTGTTTGGAAGATTCCTTAATTTCATTTTCCAAAACTTCTACCTGTTTTGTTTTAATCATATTATACTTTCCAAAAGTTTCTTACTCTAATTCTTCCTGTTGGATGGCCTTTTGTCATCCTTATTTGATGAATGTATTGTCTTCCTCTTAATTCTCTTAAGGATATTAATTAGTTTGAGGTTCTTTTTTCTCCTTATAATTTGTCTTTGTTTCTTCTAATTTCTTATGTTACTATAATATTTCTTTGCTTTTGTTTCTTTCTAATTTCTTTCTTTCTTTTTTTTTTTTTTTTTGGTAATTTTTTAGTTGTTGATAGACCTTTATTTTATTTATTTATATGTGGTGCTGAGATTTGAACCCAGTGCTTCACATGTGCTAAGCAAGTGCGCAACCCCTGAGCCACAGCCCCAGTCCCTCTTTCTAATTTCTTATGTTATTATTGTTTTGCTTTGTGCTCTTTCATTTATTTCATGTTAGAAGCTTTCCCCACATGTTCGGTAATTATTGCCCCAGAGACTGGGTTTGGTCATGCTACTTGCTTTGGCCAATAAAATGTGAGTGAACATCAAACATATAATACCCATGAAAAATCTAACTTTTTGTGGTCCACCTATTTGCCCTCTGCCATGTGTAAAAAATAGTATGCTACAGATAGTGGTTAGTCACTAAAGATCCTAAGTGACTTGTAAAAGAGAAAACTTGTAAGCCAAATGGAGCCCTGTAAAGTTGGTAACAAGGCTACAGATCATCAGCAGTCCTCATAAGTCATGTGTAAGCAAGAAATATTAACAAGACAAGCCACTGAGATGTATGATCTTATTTGTAGGTTCAAATGTATACATGTGTTTATATACACATAATATATTTCTGGAAGGATTCACCAAAAACAATGGAAGTGAAAGGGGTGAAAGACAGGGAATCTCAATTTTCATATTACTGTATATTTTCCAATATCTCTTAATATATTTCATGGCAAAACATTTATTTTGTTAATAATCATAAACAAAAAGGCCTCCAAAAGTACTAAAACAAAAGAAAACTACTCCAATTTAAATTTTTTCCAAAAAGTATTCATATTAAGGCAATAGATTTTCAACATAAATTTTTTTTTAAATCTATGCTATCTTTTTTTTAAGAGAGAGAGAGAATTTTAATATTTATTTTTAGTTTTTCGGCGGACACAACATCTTTCTTTGTATGTGGTGCTGAGGATCGAACCCGGGCCGCACGCATGCCAGGCAAGCGCGCTACCGCTTGAGCCAAATCCCCAGCCCCTCAATATAAAATTTTTAAAAACCTGGGCTGGAGATGCAGCTCAGTGGTAGAGCACCAGCCCAGCATGTGCCCCAGGTTCAATCCCCAGTAGTATACACACACACACACACACACACACACACAAACACACACGGAAAAAAAGAAAAAAAGAAAGAAAGAAAATTCTGGGAACCAGAAAACAGGTATAAATAAAAGTAAAAATCATTTATGCCAACACCCAGAGATAAACAAGACAGCATTTTATTCGTACTATTTTAGACAAATTATTCATCAATCTGAATATGTAATTTTATATTCTGCTTTTCAATTTTGCCTTACAATAAGCACTTTACAGTGTTATTAAGAATTCATAATCTGGGTGTAGTAGTACCTGCCTGTAAGCTATTTACTCAGGAGGCTGAGGCAGGAAAATTAAAATTTTGAGGCCAGCCTAGGCATCTTATTGAGACTTTGTCTCAAAAAAAATAAAAAAGGATGGATATGTAGTTCAGTGGTAAAATGCCACTGAGTTTGATCAGTAATGCAAAAATAAACAAATAAATAAATTTGCAGATCTTCACTATTAAATATATTTTACTATATTGATATGTCATGATTAATCATTTCTTTAGTTGTAGATAAATTCATTAATTCAATATTTTTAATTTTTTAAATATTTTAGTTGTCGATGGACCTTTTATTTATTTTATTTTTTAAAAATGTTTTAGTTGATAAACCTTTCTCTCTCTCTCTCTCTCTCTCTCTTTCTTTCTTGTGCTGAGAATCAAACTCTGTGCCTCACACATGCTAGGCAAGTGCTCTATCACTGAACTACAACCCAGCCCTATTAATTCTATTTTTTATTTTACCACCACATACAATAAGATACTTCTAAGCATAAAGTATTTTATTATTATAATTTTTTTCCTAAGAATACATTTGGGGGAGAGGGGTATGTGCAGATTAAACCCAGAGCCTTCTGCATGCTAAGCAAGTGTTTAACCACTGTGCAACATCCCAGGCCTTTTTAAATTTGTAGATAAGATCTCACAAAGTTGCCCCAATAGAGCTTAAACTTTCCATTCTCCTGCCTCAGCCTTCTGTAATCCCTCAGCTGGGATTTCAGGTGTGAACCACTGTGCCTGACTAAGAATACAGACTTATTAGCAGAAATGCTAGGTTCCTGATATACAATGACAATTTATTTTTCAAAACAATTACATGAATTTATACTCCTACCAGGAATATCAAAGCAACTATATCATCGGGAATATTTTCTTCAGTTCATATAACAGGCAAAAACTAATTTGGAAACAACACTGTTTTGATATTTCTCATTAATAAGAAACTAAATATTTTTTCAACTATTTAATAGTCATTTTCATTTTCTTCTCTATGAATTATCTGTTCTTTTTCATTTATTGAATTCTTAGTGCTTTGTTAATTGATTTGTACATAATTTCTTCCACTATATTAGGTTCAGAAAGTCTTTCATTTTCTTTGTGTTTTAATAATAACATTTTAACAAATCTTTCCTTGCATGCCCAACACAATGTGCTGGTTGTACATCTGAATTACATGTGGAGTATAAAACTAGAGGTTTGAATCAATTAGTATAAGATGGGTCTAGGTAAGTGTATTTTTAAAAAGCTGAAGCTAAAAAACAATGCATTCTAGGGCTGGGATTGTGGCTCAGAGGTAGAGTGCTTGCCTAGCACATGTAAGGCACTAGGTTCGATCCTCAGCACTACATAAAGACACTGTGTCCACCTATAACTAAAAAATAAATATTTTTTAAAAATGCATTCTAGAGTAGAAAGAGCCTTAGTCTTGTTTCTTGAGAGAGAAAAAAACCTTGGTGCCCCCTGAATTACAATGAACCTTTTTTATTTAAAAAAAAAAAAATCATTCTTAAAACTTAATCTGCTAACAACAATAAAAGATAAAACAGTACACAATAAATTTCTTTGGAATAACTAAAATGCCACCATTTATCATGGGACTTTACAAAAGTCATGTCTCTTACCTGTTTGGAGAGTACTAGGAAAAGACAAGGTAACTTTTTCATCTTCATTCTGATAGTTAAATCCTGTAGCGTGTATTTCTGGAAAGGAAAAAAAAAAAATTACTTTACAAATTTGGATGGACAAGACCAAATCTAGACTGCAGCAATAACATTTTTGAGAACAAAATCTCTACTAAAGCAATTTTTTTTGGGTGGGGGGAACAGTACTAGAAATTGAACCTGAGGCACTGTACCACTGAGCTACATCCCCATCCCTTTTCATTTTTTATTTTAGACAGGGTCTTGCTAAGTTGCCCAGGCTAGCCTTGAATTTACAATCTTCCTGCCTCAGCCTTTCAAGTGGCCAGGATTACAAGTGTGTGTGACCGCATCGGGCTTTAAAATGAGATATTTTTAATTTAGTAAAACAAGAATGTCATTTCAAATTAACATATTTTAGATTATATGACTGAAGTTAAATATGTTCCTAAAAAAAATATACATTTTTCATAATTCGCAAAACTTTGGTGATGTTAAGAGAAACACTGCCATTATAAATGTGATAGCTTTCTACGAAATTTCAAGAAATGTTTCATTTCTAATCCTTTGTGACTGATGTTGTAGTCTTACTGATGAGCATCTGAAGGATTTACTAAATCGACAAAATTTTGGCCTTAAAGATATATCAGTAAAGCCAGGTATGGTGGCACACACCTGTAATCCCAGCAATTTGGGAGGTTGAGGAAGGAGGACTGCAAGTTTGAGACCAGCCTCAGAAATTCAACAAAGCTCTAAGCAACTTAACAAGACCCTATCTCAAAAATAAAAATAAAAAGGGCTGGGGATGTAGCTCAGTGATAAAGCACCCCTGGGTTCAATACCAAAAAAAAAAAAAAAAAAAGCTAATATCAATGAGAGTCCCCCCCGCTAACCTCTGGCCAATTGATAACAATTCAAACTACATATAAATCATATCCACATGTAAAAAAATCTTTGTTGTTACATTTTACAGAAATAAAAAGATAAAAACACACATGTAGATTAAATCAAGTCTTTAATTTACCTTCTACCAAGAGTGAGAAGAGACTACTTATTTGGCTGCTACTTTAAGATGCTTAGTTGACTCATTTAAAAACAAAACAAAACAAAAACATGTAGGCCAAGTTCCAAACACAGACATCCATCCCCATTCCAAAAGAAAAGTCACTCAAAGAGGTGGCCTTAATAAGCATGTGAAAAGATCCTTAGAATCATTAACCACCGGGCAAATGCAAGTTAAAACCACAAAGAGACACCACTTCACACCCACTTAAAAAACTATAATCAAAATGATAGATAATAATAAGTGTTAGGGGGAGGCAGAGAAATTGGAGCCCTCATACATTGCTGGTAGAAATGTAAAATGGTGTAGTCACTTTGGTAAACAGCCTAGAGTTCCTCAAAAGTTAAATATAGAGTTAACATTTGATTCAGCAGTCCCACTCCTGCATATACCCCAGAAAAATGAAAAGATGTCCACACAAAAATGTGTACACAAATGTCATAGTAGTATTACTTATGATAGTTCCAAAGTGGGCTTTTGTTATCCAAATATCTGGCAATTGATGAATAAAATGTGCTCTATCCATGCAATTCAAAGTTTTCAATAAAAAGAAGCCAAGCACAATGGTGTGCATCTATAGTCTCAACTACTCGGCTTGGACAGTTCTTTTTCCAGCTATCTAAACCTTTTAGGCCTCTGCTCAATTCACTTCTTGAGCTATCTATTCATTCCAGAACCATAAGAACCCTTACTCTGGAAGGACATGGTGACACATGTCTATTATCCCAGTGAGGCTATAGGATCCCAAGTTCAAGGCCAGCCTCAGCAACTTAGCAAGATTGCCTCAAAATTAAAAAAAAATTTAAAAATTTAAAAAATTTAAAAGGGCAGAAGATGTGGCTCAGTGGTTAAGCATGCCTGGGTTTAATCCCCAGTACCCGACCCCGCAAAAAAAAAATCCTTACTCTATATCTTCTGGTGAACTATTTTTAGCATTCACCACTATTTTACATTATATATTTGCTGTTGCCTATTGTAATATTATATCTACTTGGGGGGTTTTGTTTGTGATTCCTACCTCATAACCCCCTCATGACCGTTAAATCTTCTCCACCTCTCTCTGACTTATCTTAGTTGATAGAGGATAAGACCCCCATTTCAGAAGGGGTTCTGAAGAATCTGAAGAGATAGGCCATGCTGAATTTCCCCACCTAGTCTATTAGATATGTAATGAAGGCTCCATAAAAACTCAAAAGGAGGTCAGGCACTGTGGGACAGGCCTATAATATTAGCAACGCCCTCCCCCCCCCCCCCCCCCCACGCACTGAGGCAAGAGGATTCCAAGTTCAAGGCCATCCTGGGGAACAGCCCAGAACCTGTCTCAAAATAAAAAATAAAAAGAGCTGGGGATGGGGCTGGGGCTGGGGCTGAAGCAGTAGCAAGCTAGCCTGGCATGCGTGCGGCCAGGGGTTCAATCCTCAGCACCACATACAAACAAAGATGTTGTGTCCGCCAAAAAACTAAAAAATAAATATTAAAAATTCTCTCTCTTAAAAAAAAAAAAGAGCTGGGGATCTAGCTATAGTAAAGCATCCCTGTGTTCAATTGCCAGTAACAACAACAACAACAACAAAAAACTCCTTTTCAAGAAGATCATAATATACCTGACAATTCATTATTAATTTAATTATAACTAATTGGTTATATATGTATAAATAAAGGCTCTTTTTAAGAAAAATCCATTTATTTCTTAGTTGTAGTAAAGGACACAATACCTTTATTTTATTTATTTTATATGTGGTGCTGAAGATTGAACCATGCTAGATGAGCACTTTACCACTGAGCCACAACCCCAGTGCCTAAATAAAGGCTCTTATTGAAATAATTTATTATGTGAGTGTTGCTACATTTCAGAAAAAAAATATTTTAAATACAATTGGCATTTTAAAATCTATGCACAGGGCTGGGGTTGTAGCTCAGTGGTAGTACACTTGCCCAGCACGTATGAGCCACTGGGTACAATCCTCAGCACCACATAAAAATAAATAAATAAAGGTATTATGTCCATCTACAACTAAAAAAAAAAAAAGATTTAAAAACATCTATGCACATATAAAATATTTGGATACAGAATGCATGAGTGTCTATGTTAGTAGTCTATTAATTAGAAGTATAGTAGTATATTGATTATTAATAAGAAGTAAAAAAAATTTTTTTTGAAGGGGGTAGTGCTGGGGATTAACCCAGGACCTCACATATGCTAAGAAGGCACTCTACCATTGAGCTATAATCTCAGCCCCAGAAATAGAATTTAAATATAACCCTAACTTACATAAAACTATATGACAAGAAAGAGCTTACACTCAAAAACCAATTACAATACACTCACTTTAACTAAAAGTTTACTTACAACAATATAGACCTAGAGTTTTCATTTAATAAGATGGGCTCATAAACTGGATTTTTAATGTCTTATTTTAAGAATTAAGATAATTACTTAAAGATAATTACTTAAAATTAAGATACAATTTTAACTATAAGTAAAAAAAATTCAAAACTATGTATACGATATGCTATCATTTGTGAGCACAAACTTTCTCATACATGACATCTATAAAGGCACAGAAACTCTGAGGAAGGATATGTGATAAAAGATAATTATCACCATGAAGGGGGTTGGGAGGGTTGTATAATCTATGCTGTTTTCACATTCTGAATTTGGCATCATGTGGCATATATTAACTAAGAAAGTTTTCAAATGTTTAAAATTACTTTTTAAAGATATTCATTTTGAGATCCTAATCAAATTTTTATAGCCAGTCTGCTAATGAATATGTGATCCTATTCTGGGTCTTCCAAGAATGGTTTAATAAGAAGAAGATGCTCTTGCCTAGGTCTTTAGGTTTTGGGCCACCCATAGTTTAAAAATTATGATTGTTCTTACAGAATAAAGAGGGTACAGTGACTCACCTCATTTATATAATCAGTCAGTCTTGAAGGGTAACAGTCCTCAAGGAGCAACAATACTTTATAACTAAAAGAAGGCAAACACTTGTATAGTATTACTTTAGTTTGTGCCAAAATTTCAGAGCCTCCCTCATGTGAATTCTTCCAAAATACAAAGTTAATTTTCTGCTCAACATTTGTGCAGATATGCTAATATTTAGTCCAGTGTGTTTCCTTTAAATATCCCTGCTCAGGGCAGGGATATAGCTTAATGGCAGAACACTTCCCTCTTCTGTGGTAAAATGTCCTTGGTTGGAGTCTCAGCACTGCAAAGGGAAAAAAGGTCCTTACGAAACAAACTTCATCTTCCGTGGCCTCCTCTATGAGCCCATCTATTTAACTCCTAATTATCACCATCTCTGCTGACTTTTCCTGCTTTTCACTTAATATAGTAATTCTGGTTCTCCCCTTTTGACAAAACAGGCCTTTTCTTTGGCAAACACACAGCACCATGAGGGACCCTACTGTTATTGTTAGAATCAATGCGTATTATCCATAAATAATACAATCAGTAATTTTAAGGTAACTCCTGCTTTCCTTATTAAATAGTATTTAGATAGCAAAATTTTCTTTAGAAAAACTACTTAAGTATGTCCATGTGCCCTTATGAACTTGGAATATCTTTATTTAATCATTTTTATTCAATCAGTACTATAAGGAATAAAAAATGAGGAGTTTCCTTCCTATAAGTCTCACTGATTCTCTGGTCTCTTTCATTAACAGAATTGGCACAGAATATTTCTAGATACTTTAGTGCCATCTCAAATTTATTTATTTATTTAGGGTACTGGGGATTTGACCCAGGGGCAATTTACCACTGAGCTACATCCCCGATCCTTTTTATTTTTTATTTTAAGACAGAATCTCACTAAGTTGCTTAAGGCCTCACTAAACTACGGAGGCTGGCCTTGAACTTGTGATCTTCCTGTCTTAGCCTCCTGAGCCTCTGGGATTACAAATATGGGCTACCACGATTGGCTCAAATTTAAACACTATTGGTAAATACTACTGGTATTCATAAAAATGAAAAATGCTGGGTGCAGTAGTACAT